GCTTCGGCTTTCAGCACGGCTCAGCCGAGCCGATGCATATGGGTTCAGCTCGGCTGAGCCGCTCGGCCATGATCGGGAGCTGTACAGGCTATTGTGAATAGCCCGTACAGCACCTCTTCGGTTCTACTGAACCGAAGGGGTCCTGGGGCCGAAGCTAGCCGAAGGATTGGCCGAAGCTACGATAGGCTGTTCATTTTGCGATGGAATTTTCCCTTAGCTTAGTGAATGAGGTGAAGCTCTAGTGACTTCTTGCAGAGTTAGCTATACTAGCTACTACTAACTGTATTTTGTGCATTACTATTATTGTGGGAACATTTATTTTAAAAAAATTTACCTTAAAGGAAAAAAAGTTATGCATTTTGCAGTTTACAATCCAAATAAATTACTATTTAGATAGCATGGTTTGCTTAAGAAAATATTGTTGTTCTGTTAGTCCAATCCTGTTTTAATAATCTTCTTTAATCGAACAAGCGTGAGATTTCTGTAAGTGAAATGAAGTGAAAAAGTGTGTCCATATATGTAAACATATGTCCTAGTTCACACAGGCTCCATTCTGAGCACATGGAACTTCCAATAGATTTTATTGCTACTAACTGGCTAATAAACAACCATTTGGTAACTGTGCAATGTACAACTGTAAGGCACATAGATCTTTGTACATTTGTTAAAATAAAATGTAATAAACAAGGCCTATGTGTTTTAAGGTCATGTCTTGCAGTACAAGTATAAATTAAAGCATAAAATAAAGCTAAGACTGTATTGTTTTGGATAGAGTATGCAGTGGCCGATCAGATTTAATGGTTTGCTGTCTATTTCCTATTGAAATTTCCATAGCTGCCAACCCTCCCCAATTTGCCAGGATAGTCCCGCATCTAGGTGCTCTATCCTGATAATGCTGTATCCCACACTGCCTCCAAAGATCACAGTATCACCCTTATTTGTGTTACTGAGCATGTGCAGTAGGCCACAAAAGTTTTTTACTGAAGGGATTCTGGCTGAGAGTGGTTAGTTCCCATATAATAATAAGAGGCTGGACTGCCCGGAAAGTGGATGTGATCTGGTGGGGTACAGCTAGAAGGGGGGCATGATATGTATGGGGCGTGGATGACATTTTAACCAGGGGACTGGGATAAAGGTGTTGACAGAACCCTTTCATGTGCAGAAACCTTTCATTAAAATCCTTAGTATGTCACCTTAGGTATTTGCCTAGTTTGCCTATACTGTTAGTAAAAAGAGTTATTTGAAGAAACCTTGGGGGCTCCACCAGGGGTACGGCCACCTTATTCTTCATTCACTAGCCTGTTGAACTGGCTGGGGACCCCTGAATCTCCAGTCTATCATGAATGCAGCTGCCAGACTCATTCACCTTACCAACCGCTCAGTGTCTGCATCCCCCCTCTGCCAATCCCTACACTGGCTTCCACTCGCCCAGAGGATGAAATTCAAAATATTAACAGTCACCTATAAAGCCATCCACAACTCCGCCCCTGGATATATCTCAGACCTTGTCTCTAAGTATCACCCTAACTGTCCCCTCCGCTCATCCATTGACCTCCTGCTTGCCAGCTCCCTTGTCCACTCCTCCCACACTCGCCTCCAGGACTTCTCTAGAGTCTCTCCCATCCTCTGGAACTCTTTACCCCAACCTGCCCGTCTATCTCCCACCTTGACTGCCTTTAGGCGTTCCCTAAAGACTCATCTCTTCAGGGAAGCCTATCCCACCTCGACCTAACCACTGAACCTTCACATTCTCAAATAATTAATTCCCACAGCTACCACAGCTACCACCTCATGTATCATTTCCCCCTCCTCTTTCAGATTGTAAGCCCTCAGGGGCAGGGCCCTCCTTACCATCTTGTCTTGAATTGTATTGTAACTGTAATGTCTTCCTTATATTGTAAAGCGCTGCGCAAACTGTTGGCGCTATATAAATACTATGTAATAATAATAATAGATAGTAACATTTCATTTTTGAATGCGTTTTTGTATTAGAGACACTTAGGCCTCTGTATCTAAGCATTTACTATATATTAGCCCGGATCTGATCCCATGTCTTTGTCAGTCAGTTTATACAAAGGCAAAACTCTATTTCCAACCCTAATATTTGATAGCGTAAGTATGCAGCATGTTAAAGTGACACTAAACTCAGGAGTTAAATCTTTAAATTGCATTCAAGTACCTTAACTATTAGCAAAAATGTTTTAAAGTAGCCACCACTCCAAGCTCGCTCCCACGATGGACTACAATCTCAGGTTTAGTTTACTCATTTGTATTGAGATTGTAGTCCATCACGGGAGCGATTTTGGAGCGGTGGCTACACACACACACCAGGGACCATGGGGAGCAAAAGAACAAAAAGTAGCCACCCTACAGAAGGAAGGACAGTGTCACCATGAATTCAGAGATTCAGAGATGATTTGAGAATCTAACCCCTAATGATACACAAACAAGATACATTTTTGCTAATAATGAAGGTACTTGAATGCATTTTTAAAACTTAATTCCTGAGTTTAGTGTCACTTTAAGTATGAGTAGTCAGAACTCTGGGTTTGCCAGCTTGTTCTGACTCAAAGTATTGCATCCTTTGGATCTCCAGGACAGCTAGGCAACTAGTATTTTCAATAGGAGAGGTCAGCAATGGCAGCCTACATATTTCCATAGCACAGATCCTTTTTAGGATAGCCACTGTTGCATACAAACTTTATAGAAACACTTACCCAAGTTCCAGCTGATGACATATGACGGACGCATCATTATCGTCCCACTGGCTGCTGCATATGGTTCCCCAGGCACCATTCACATGGACTTCCACTACATTTCCCTCTGACTCGCTTTTCTGGTTCCCTCGCAGACGCACTGACCCTGTTAATTGTTAAAAATGCATTTAGATGATGTACTACGGCCAAATAAATGGCATCCCACTGAGTTTACAAATGTATGTATTCCCCTGATGCTGACAATCTGCTTGAGGGTAAAGACTCTATTCATACCACAGATAGTTTGAAGGGGAAAGCCATGAATTGTAAGGTCATGAAAAATATTCAAAATCGAATGTTTTCTAGATGTAAGGATGTACTGTAATAGATAACACTGAGTATATACGGTAGGCCTAATGTCACTAAATAAAAAGGCTTTGTTATATTTAGAACATTTTTTTTATCTTTATTGTACTGTACAAAAAAAGTCTAACTAAATCCAAGAGCAAAAATTGAATATGCTGAAAGTTGACTGTACTTTAAAGTGGTGACTGGATGAGTTTTCTTTTTTTCAGGCTTTTTTTTTTATTTTCACTTGGTGATCCTGCCATTAATATATTTGTTTCCTAGGGTGACAATGCTCACTTACTGTACTGTGTCTATGGAGGAACAGCATTGTTGCCCTAGGGCAGAAGTGTGTTAGGACTATGGAACAGCTCCTGCTATTCTCTTCTCCATAATATTGTGAGGAGGTGTTCCTTAATCCACAGATAACACTGGGAATAATATTAAGAACTGATAAAGAGTTTTTTGCGCTTATTAAACAGATTTAACAAAATGCTTTCAATTGCTGGGTTTATACACACTTTAAAGCTGAACTATAAAATTCTGAATAACATTATATATAGTCAGTGCTATGATATAACAGCACTTAAAGGGTTTCTAAACCCTCCGGTGTTTTTGCATATATCTACTGCTAGCAAGCAGTAGATATATGCAAAAAGTTTGTTTTTTTTTAAACGCTTTAAAAGCGGTTTAAACTTACCTGTGTCTTTGCTGCGCGCTCCCGTCCGAAAACCTGAAAATGCACGGGCGGCCGCAAAGTATCTTGGGGCGGGCGCATGCGCAGTTCGGATTTTCGGCCGGGAGACGATGAGAGACACAAGGTAAGTCTATGCACAGCGCGCACCCGCATGCAGACACCGTGGGACAGGAAGTGGCAGCAAGGATAGAGGAGTCAGCGCTGGATCGGAGACCCGCAGCAGGGCTGGACAGAAGGACAAGAAAGAAGAAGAATTAAGAGACATCATTTAAGGTAAGTGCTTTAATTAAAATTGGGGCGAGGGCGAAAAAGTTTTTGCCTTTAATGTCACTTTAACAATATTTATAGCTAGAGTTAGGCTTTAAAGTAACATTTTTTGTTGGCATACTAAACAGACAAGAAATATAATTTTGTAAGACTTTTTACTAGTGATAAGCTAATGGGTAAACAAATCAAGCAGATTGCTCTTTTTTATTCATCATTCATGTAGGTTTTTCAAATTTACAAAGAAACATAAAATTTATTGAGTTTATTCATTAAAGTGTATTTAATAAAGTAAACATTTACTTAGCTTAAGGAATAATCTAAAGCAGGGATCCCCAATGATCATGATTACCTGAATTTTGAAATGCATTATTCTGTACAAGTCAGACAGATGTATGAGCAAATATGAAGGCAGGTCAAAAAAATTAAAATATGTTTTTTTATTATTATTTTATCATCACTACTTATTTATTTATTTATGTATTATTATTATTATTATTACAGGTTATTATATAGCACCAACAGTTTACGCAGCACTTTACATACTGTACATTCATATCAGTGCCTGGCCTCAAGGAGCTTATAATCTAAAGTCAATTTTGTACACACATGCAGGACCAATTTAGACAGGAGCCAATTACCCTTCCAGCATGTCTTTACTTGATACTGTGTTAGATGTATTTATTAATATTCATTTACTTAGCTTAGGGAATAAACTAAAGCAAGGATCCCCACCCATCATGATTACCTGGATTTCTAAAGTTCATTATTCTGTACAAGTCAGACAGATTGCAAGCAAATATTCATGCGAATCAACATTTTTTAATTTTATTTTATCATCACTACTTCTTACATCTTTTTGTCAGATTTACTAGATGTATTCATTAATGTTCAGTTAGTAAAGTGAACATTTACTGAGCTTAGGGAATAAACTAAAGCAGGTATCCCCACCGATCATGTTTACATAGATTTCTGAAGTTCATTATTCTGTACTAGTCAGACAGATGTGCGAGCAATTAGCAAATTAACTTTTTTATTTTATCATCACTATTTCTTATATCTGTAAGAATACATTACTCTCAGATACATTTACTCATGATAACTTCACAGAAGTCCAGAAACCTTGCTTTCTTCTATATGATCAGTATTACTTTAAATGTCACTTTCTCTGCATCCATCAACAGTCAACCTACTAAAACATTGCATCACCACGCACAGAATGATGCTTATAAATATTCATGTGTTGATTGTTTAAAACATTTTAATCCATTCCTTGAACAAAGTCGTAACAACACGTACATATAAATCCTACACTGCTGATTGCCTTAGGTGGCTTCAAATGTATTAGTAGTTTTAATAATTAAGTTTTACAGTTATTTGAACACAAGAGCTGTTTATCAGGAAATTGCATATTTTTGGATCAATAATACGTCCGAATTGCCCTCAGAAATCTGGCAGTGCTTCACATATTTCTCTTGGTAGAAGGAAATGACCAAAGTTCTGAAACTGACAGAAAAACAAATCATTTGAAGTGTAGTACAGTTCATTGATTAGGTTATCTTTTATATCAAGCCATTGTAGATAGCAGAAAGTCTTTTTAGATCAATATGACCATAAAAAATACATTAATGTTGCCGATTAATGTACATCTGTGTGGGTTTTTATATTTGTATCCTTTTAACTTTTAAAAGGAGTTTTCGCTTGTTCTTTTGTAAAGTTCATAGGAAGTGCATTGATATCCGTGGTAAGAGTTTGATTTTTAAATTTATTTTCTGGTTTATTTATTCTTGTAGCCGTCAGGTGTTGTAATTTGAAAGGATTTTCCACTTCCACAAAGTGAAATACTCTTTGCTTGTACCCCTGTGAGGGTCGGCAGAGGCTGCACTGCTGAGGTTCCATCTGTTCTCGGTCATTTAAGTGGCAGAAGTTTTCAATGAGCTTCTGAGGACGGAGCTACTTTGTGCCAAAAAATGAAAGCCTCCGAGCTCTTGGTTAAATGACTAAGGAAAACTGATTGAGGAAGTCTAGGGTTATAGTGATATTGCGGCACCGCTTTAATAATGCTCATGTATCAAAAGTGTCTGAAACAAAGAGTGTCTTTCTTGCCTGAAACAAGCACAGTGAATCATTTTTCCAAAATGTGCAATAAAAATGTTAGTGAGAGTCTTATTGCATGCATAGGGCTATAAATACATATAAAACCCTCTAACTCTCAATAAAAGCTGCATAGGATATTAATATGCGTCAAATATTCTGCTAGAGGTCTACTATGGTAGTAATAATAATAATTAAAACCATAAAAGCTTGATCTTTTTAGTTTAGTTAGACCTAAAGATGGCCATTCAGTGGGCTGAACAAAAAAAAAAAATCTAACAGATTCCTCAATCCACGCTAAACAGTGTGGATGGATGAATCTCCCAATGTGACTTTTGTATTCTGACAGCTGGTGCTCGTGTCCAAATCATTAACATGGCTTATAGCAAAGTTAACATTACATACCAAAATGGTGGTAGTTTGGTATGTTCTATCAGGTGCTATGAGAGTAAAATTATATACATTTCATAGGCATTGCATTGTATTTTGTTTCCTTTATTTATTTTTAAGAAAATCAAGCAAATTTAAATGATAAACATACAAGTAAGTGTCTGTATTTTTTTTACCTGCAATATACATTTTGTCAAGTGTAGGCAATATCGCAGATGCTACCTGCCAGCTGCATCCAAGTCCCTGAACAGCTGCGATATAGTACCAGTACATTTTATATATTATTTATAGCTGCAAACTACATAATGTACTTAAAGTAAATTATGAGCAGCTTTGCCAGGCTGGCTGGTTTTCTGTCATTTAATACTGATTAACTGTTACCTCTAGAAATGTAAATACATACATACTGGTTGCTTTTTAATATTCCATTCCCTTGGGGCAATTTTAAGGGAAATCAAGGCTATGGGGTCTATTCACGAAGCAGCCGAAGGATCTAGCTGTAGCTTCGGCCGATCCTTCGGCTAGCTTCGGCCCCAGGACCCCTTCGGTTCTGTAGAACCGAAGGGGTGCTGTAAGGGCTATTCACAATAGCCCATACAGCTCCCAAACTTAGCCGAGCGGCTGAGTCGAGCCGAGGCATATGCCTCGGCTCGATTGAGCCGCGCTGAAAGCCGAAGCTGGCTGAGCGGCCGGCCATTGGCCGGCCGACAGCCTGCTTCTGACAGTTGGGCGGAGCCAGCCGTGATCTTACGGCTGGCTCTGGCCACTTGAAGAGAGATCAGCGTCCCTGGTTACTAGTTAACCAGGTGCACTGATCTCCAGACAGCAAACTCTCCCGGGCGCTCCTGCAGTTCTCCATCAGGTCCATCAGCAGAGGGCGGGTACAATGCTAGTTTACTATTGGCTATTACAAATTGAAATAGCGAATATGAATCTAGCAATGCATTCCTATGAGCAAAATTATTATTGTTTTTTTTTCTATTCTGACACGGCTCCGTGTCAGAATAAAGAAATAAAAAGAAAAAGCAGTGTTTCTCTCCTGGGCGGCCGGGAGCAGGGGCTCCCAGAGCGCCCGGGAGAGGGGTTTTTTTTCGTTTTTTTTTACGGCAGCAGAACCGCTGGACAATAGAAAACTGTTGGGCGGAGCTAGCTGTCATTGCTAGCTCCACACAATCGTTTTCTATTAATCTTTTTGTACTTTTTAAACTATTTTTATGTTCTGCTCGGCCAACCCGAAGCCACCCGATGTACGGCTGATTTCAGCCGATATACGATGTACAAAGCCGATATACGATGTACGGCTGATTTCAGCCAATGTACGGCTGAAATCAGCCGTACCAGCCTGAAGTGAATAGCCGAACAGCGCTCGGCTCACT